AGGTTGAAGGGGTCCTGGGTGGAGCTAGAACGGCCGTGTAGCGAGTTTGCGATAGCTTTCAGAGTTGAGTGAAGGGAGAAAAACGCTAAACGAGAGAAAGACGGATGTGCCCAATATCTCTCCCTTGTCCCCCGCTTACACGCCTTCTTCCTGTTTCGCCGGATCCTGCTTTAGGTAGGATACCAGCAGATCTCACTCCTTAGTCTGCTTTTTTCTATACTCTGACCGGCTTCGTTCGGCCTTTTGCCACTCTAACCTCCAAAGTGGCCGTCCATTCGAGTCCTAGCAATAGCCTTTGCGACACCGAGCAGATTACAAGGTGGCAAAACTCGGCGGCTGCTCTTTCAGTTGCTCTACCGTAGCTTTCTACCCTGACTGGCTGGCCCGGAAGTGAGTCTCCTGAAGGGGCACAAGGACCGACACAGCGACAGCTGCCCGGTCCTGCTGGGTGTCAAGCCGGCTCGTTTTCGTCGGCGTTTCTTCTTTTTTTCACATGTTCCACACGAAGATCCACCTACTGTGCGTATACGTGGTGTATTGCAAAGTGATGCCCAGATTGCTGGGACGCTGAAATTGTTGTCGACGTGTCGTGTGTCGCCGATGCTGCTGGATCTATGTCGTCCGAAACGAAAACGACGACAACGACAAAAACAACAGTAACGGCGCCAGCTTTAACAGCAACTATAGCAGCAGTAAGAACACCAGCCAGTGCGTCAACGCTGCCACTATCTGAAAGTTGCGACGGTTCGGAAGTCTCTACGAGCAGACGTTCTCGGCAGAGCAGACGTAGAGGGGGGCAATTTCAGCTGAAGCGTTTTGTTTGGATGGTGGATGGGAAGCTGGGGTCAGGTTTTCGGTGGAGTAAAAGTGTAGAAGTTCAAGGTGCCGAGAAAGGATGGGCGGATGTTAATTGCGAGACAAACGAGAACGGCAAAGCAAGTTGAACGGGAGAACAGCGACGTGGTGGAACGGCACAAGATTGAAAGTGAGAAATTCCGTGGAACACGGCGCAGCGCGGCCCTGAAAATAGCGAGCAAAACTATTGTGTGATGCAGAGGTTCTGCTGGAGAGCGGAAAAAGTTTAGAGTAAGTGGCCTGAAAAAAAATTGTGTTACATCAGGAACGCTGTTTAATGAAATAACATAGATAAATGAAAGCATTTCACCACTTTCATAGAACCAGGTATTGGCTCCGATAGTGAGGCATCGGAAAGATTGATTTAGAACTTTGTTCGGTAATTTTTTTCAATACTCTCTGGGTAATTTTAATAATTCTAGGGTTATGAAATAAGCGATTTCCGCTTGCGAGTTTAAGCTTTGTTGTTAGAATTTACAAAATAGATAACGGCACTTTTTATGTAGATTTGCAGATCTGAGAAAAACGCCTACACATAGTCAGTCAGTTTATTTTTTTCATCATTATTTTCTCAACTAGAACTATTTTAAGTTACTTGTACATTTAGTACATAACAAATGAAATATTAAAATACGAGACGCATGAAGGTTGTATATGTGGTTAGATAATTCGATTAAGTTCAGTTTCTAGACTAATAGCACATATGTATTTAACGGTCGCCATGTTCTGAGACCGCAGTCTTGTTTAGCTGTAATGTCCAAATTTGACTCATTTCAAATTCGATATGAATTCGGTGTGAACTTGATTTTGTTGAAGTTTCTTTGTATCTCTATAATCTCGAAGTGATTAATATCATGAAGGTTTCCGAAGAAAACCCGTCTGATGGCCGATCAGATGTCAGACAATGAAATGTCTTTTTTTCACAATAGAACAAAGCTCCATATCAGTATACAGGTATGCAGATACGTGTACAAAATGGTTATTGCAACGATATGCGGTAGTTCGAATAAAACCATTTCGATTTATCCGACTGCCCACTTTGTCCTTTTTAGCTATATCAGTTTCCAAGGGTCCTTTTTCGGCCAACAGCGGGCGTCCTGTCTTTTTATTTTCATCCTGTCTTTCCCTACCTACATTTGGAAGATGAGTCGCGAACTAGATCCCCTTCCGGTTCTACCAGAATACCTTCTTCCAGTCCCATTTTCCCTGCCGCTTGGCCATCATTTCCTTTCCGAAACGATTTGCTATTCGCTTTTCGTTCTCGGCACTTTTTCTTTACCAGTCGCCGTCGTCGTTTGCTAGTAGTCTCGTTCGATAGACATCTAGAGTCTGAACCCGGAGACTCGGAACTTGGGTTCTGAGCCAGCTAGCACTTCGCTAAGCGACTTACCAGCTACCCACAGTTGCTTTGAGATTTTCTCTCTATCACTGCCATTCCCTCTGTAATTTTTTTATCGGTGTGCAAATCAATCCCATCGCCAGAATAAGTGACAGCGTGCTCTCAAGCGATTTCCTCCGATTGTCTCCTGCTTCTCCGTCCGAATTGTTTTGATTGTTCTAAATAGGGCCGGCAGCGAGTGAGACAGTGCTAGCCCAATTTGTGATCCGTGAAAGAAAATAGGTCAAATAATAGCTTTTTCCCCAATTTTATTTTAGGTATAGTGTCTCTATAAAATGCGAAAAAAAATCTCTTTATTCTTTTACATCCATGTCGTTTTCAGCTCTGACGATGAGTAGCGATAGCGACGTTAAAAAAGCTAGAACGTACGGCGAGTACAAATAAATTTATAGCTGGTAATCAGAAAAATTATCTATAATAAATTAGGTTGTGTATGTATGTACGACCAAGAAATAGGATCGGTACGTGTTGTGCATGGGCGCCTATGTGGGCGGACTATCAATTATTTCTCGGTAGACATATAAAATTCAGTATGATCGACAACAACAATTGATTATATCGTTATTCGAAAAGTATCCTTCTGGATGAGGTTCGTGCTCGCCAGCTGGGCCTTCATAGTAACATTGGATAAAACCTAAGACAGTTTTCCTAGTATTAGGTACTACCTGTTTATTGGCACATCTGCTTAAGGAAAGTTTGTAATTTGGATCAAACAGGCTTACATATAGTTATGAGTTCGAAACAACGAACAATATTTCACTATAAAAAAATCTATTTTTTATAAACTGAAATATCGCTTAGTGCGAGCTATATGAATACGTGCACTTAAACCTAATTTGCAATTTAAAATATTGAGGAGATCAATCAGAGGAATACATTTGTGCGCTCAAGTGGTCATTTCAAGCGGTTTTCTATGAACAGAAATGGAAAAGTAAATAAATGTACATATTCTTAGCAGATCATGTGGAATTTTCAGGGGAAGTTCTTTCTAGTCGAAGCGAATAGCTTTTTTAGTGAATAGGGCTCGCTTGATTAAAGGAGAGCATAAAAAAAAAAAGGAATTAAGTTATCTCATACATAAAGATTACCACCAGTTTGACTATGCTGTAGGATGACGAACATCATGAAATTTACGAACAGTTGATACTTCCAGGGTATACTCAATTCTTTTATCTTGTCGAGATATATCAAAAGGTGCGTACCCTGATCTACTGCGTGTGACGCGGCCACGGAACGTGTGGGCATCTTACGCTGATAGAAGCTGAAGGAGATAGCGAAAAATAGAAAACTATCAAAATATTCTCTCGCCTCGCATCATTTAATTTGAAAACCATTATATCCATAAATTCTCTCACTGGCTTCTCAGTGACGAGATGGGTCCTTTTACGCCTATTTCGGTTAGTCACACGATAGGGAACTCATGCTCTCCAAAAATAGGCTCCTTGACGCCGTTGTTTCAATTTCCGTAAACATGATCAGGGAAAAGCCCTGCCAGGAGCGTCAAGGGGCTACGAAACGTGAAAAAAACATTCTTTCACCCGATAGTGGTCCTTGCTTGCGCTTATCGACCTCACATCGGATACGTCGACGCGTGCACGTAACGTCAAAGCGATGCTAAAGCTTTTTTCTTGAATTTCGTTTTCTTTCGCGCAACTCAAACGTTTTCATCTTTTATATCTGCCTTTTGTATTGATGCCTATCATTCTCTTCCGTGTAAGTTTCCCTCACTGCCAATCTTTTAAGTGATAGCTCGCCTCCTTAAACGAACGAATAGCAGACGAGTCGCCACCTTTCGAGCAGCGTGCCTCATGAAGAACTGCTTTCCTTGGCTTTAGAACCCTATGGTGACGTCCATTTTCTCTGATCTTCGTCCCTTTTCCTTAAACTAGTAATACCTTGGATCAGAAGCACTGGTCAACGGGGGACGGTGGGTGGCAGCAAAACATAGATGATGGAAATCATTTATCATCGATGTATTTCTGTAGGTTGAAGAATAAGTGGAACAGGAAGAGGGCCGAAGGTCGGAAACTTGGCTGTCTTTGTTACAGGAATATACTTCAATGTTCAGAATACAAAGGATAAGAACGAGATTACGGGTTCCTCATGGAAAATTTTGGGCATACATAAGAAGTGCAAGTGAGTGGAAGAATAGAGGATTTTTGAATACAGTATACTAACATAGCTTTTATCAGCCATTGTCGCGATTTCAGTCTTTCCCGCAAGTTCATTAGATTGAGTGTATGCCTGGATTAGTTAATCATACGTTACAATGAGCCGTAGATATATGGCGTATACTTTCCTTGCCACGTTAAAACTATTTGTGGCAAGTTAAGCCAACGATTTTGCCGATAAACGTGCGGTTGTTAAGCAAATGGGAAACACACTCTGATTTTACAATTAAGCACACGTTTAAATACAAACAAATGTATCATCATCCAGTTGTGTAGAGACCGTCTTTAAAATTCGTTTTATTCTATAACTTCCATTTACGAGCTACGCATGCAGAGAATTTAAGATTATGTTACTAATCGATCGCTTATACATATTTTATATAATATATGTATATATACGTTTATCATACACAGCACTTGCTGCTTCAGGAAAACAGAATACTTAGGTGAAGAAGCATAGTTCTGAAGCACAAGAGCCATGTTTTAATAGATAGTCAACATTATGTTTCGAATCTCACAGCCGGTATCGCCGTTACGCATCCTATCAGGCGTCCAACAGAAACCTGACCAAAACAACGTTGGTAAGTAATTGAACCTACTGATTTCTGTCTGTAGACTCGTGGTGTGATATGTGACGTTTATATCATATATTTATATCAATGTGTGTCCGTTCTTTTTGTTAAGGTTCTTTCAATACACACCGAAAAATGTCACATATAGATAAGGATTTGTATTATTGTAGCCCTTAAAATATATAAAATTATAATATTATTGGTAACTCTAATAGATTCGTGAATGTGTAGGATAACGCAAACTGGAAGCTTCGTATACAGAAGAGCTAAACGTGTAAACCAGAAACACCGCTAGAAAATTTGCTAAGTTAGTCTTCTTTGCTGTCTAAATATTTCAGGTAGCGTCGGTCCACTATGAGCGGTATGAGGAGCTGGCGAACTGCCAACATTGCCACGATGATTGCTGGGAATGCCATCGTTAGATACGGCCAGGGAGAAAAGCCGATGACACAAAAAATAAAAAGTTGTACTAACTGACAGCACGTAAATACGTGAAGTGACCTTTGAGTACAACGGCGCACGTAATGACAAGGCGGATACGACTGAAATGTTGAAACACGAGCCGAAAAATGAGTATGTTAGAATGCTGCACATACACATAGATATCATATACCAAGTATAATAATAAGGTGATTATTACACTATTACTGAACCAAGTATTATACCATCCCCTTTTCACAACTGAGTTGACGACACGTACTGCACGTAATAATTATCCAACTGGCATGCTGCGATTCGGTCAACTAATGTAATTATCTTAATAAAACACAAATCATAAATAATCACAACAGTGGCATAGCCAAATCAACACAGTTAAAAATAGACGTCTATACCTATCTGTAATAGGAAAATAACAGTTAGAGCAGCGATTGGGTAAGATCCTACCCTTTGTTCGGTTACGAAAAGAAGGAGTCGTTTGAAAAACTGGTTTGACCGAAGTGAAGAGATAGCCATGAAGAGAAAAAGTCCATCGAGAACCGCCGTTGGAATATATCCCAATGGATGCGGCAAGAGCAGGATCGAGAAGCCCAGTAGGATGTGGGCCACCAATGAAGTTACCCGGGTCTCGCGAGACTTCATCACGATCTGCGTCGTAGGTGAGCATTTGAAACATAACAACTATGATTACGTACTATCTCTTTCAGCCAACTGACACAAGTGAACTGCATGAGTTACCCGCATGAATTCTGTTCGTCTATATCGAGAAGAATTTTTTTCCTCACCCTTTTGAAGCTGACAGCAAAAAATTTTTGCTCTATTTTCGCTATTTATTATAAAATGATTAGTAGTCTAAAGCTAAAAATCAAACAAGCAATGGTAAATTAACCGATTAGATCATCTTAATGATTATATTGATATGATGATTATTCTTTGTACTGCACGTGCAAATCTAGACTGTTACGCACGTGCTGCACATAGCCTTCGACGACGCGTTCCTCCGAATCAGATAATGCTCGAGCATGGAGCGGCGAATGCGGCAGTACCCCGTGCATCCATGGAAGGCCAACAATTGAGAGAAACGCGTTTAAGACTGCAACTACCAGTATGTCCCAGTCGTATGCTGTACCTGTATAGCCATCAGTAACACACAGCGTCGCTTTGGATAGCATTCGCTTTTTGCACTAAAATAGGCCCAGTTATTATATATTTTTTTATGCTATGCAATAGTAATAGACAAACTACAGCCTATTATTGCTAGTCTAACATGTGGTAGCTGTGAACCTTTCTTTAGCTTGTGAACTGCTGTCTCGACCATTGCTGCGGAGATGTTTTGGTCCATAACGAACAGGAGGGAAAGTGCAAAACCAAGCCCGATTGAGATAAGCAGTGGTAAAGTATCTATCGATTCAATGCGGGCAACTGTGAAAATCTGGAATAATCGTAAAGCCGTTAGAAAATGATTTAATTGTATCACTAACTTTGAAAAATTTGAATTCACTATAATCGAAAGCAACGTGGCAGGCAAAATGTGAAGCTTTTGATTGAAGGGGAGAGGTAAAATACATGGAATAGGCACATACGTATGCTCGGCAAATGTCACGATCCAAGTTAATATATCTTTTAATAGCTAATAACATATTTTTGTGTACGTTGAGCTTTTATAAATTTGTTTATATGTGTCGTAGGGTAATATCGAACAAGAGACTGAATTTTGCAATCTATCAAAGTGAAGAAACGAGCAAATTCTACATACACCCACTTCATATTTAATACATATATAAGTCAATAAAGTATATAAGTCAATCGTAATTGGTATTAATTGTCCGTGTCAACCAGACAGCTAATAACAAATACGACTGGCTAGCTTAAATTTGGGACTTCCTTTAACTTATTCTGTCTTGAAGGTGTTCATAGTGACATAAATTAGTCTGAACTAGCACAATTTTGTTAATTCAACCCTGAGCGTTTTTCGCGCATTTTTTGAGCTGTCCTTCAATACCGGAAGTAGATAAAGAGAAAACAAAAAGAACACTAAAAGTACGTCAACCAAAGCACAGTAGATGTTGCTTTAAATGAATAGAATAAATAAATAAATAAGATGTAAATACTAAATAAGCTTTAAATAACGATGACTAAATTAGACTTGTGATTCACACGAATGACGCGTGCCATGTTCCAATAGGGAAGTGAAGTTCCAGATGAGAAGCATCGATGTATTTTTCCATAGAATTTAGATCTTTATTCCCGGCTCGATAATTGTGCTCGTTATATCCTTTAGGCATACTTAGGCGTAATTATATCCTTTATATATCTCTGGTAAGTGATGCGCTACCCTCAAAGAGCTATGTTTCTTATTACCTCGGATGATAAATATATCCTTAAATATTAGGTGGTTCTTTTCTGTGGAGCTTTTGTTTCGAATGCTTACGTTGTCATTACTGGCCATCTACTCGTTCGCGGAGACTGTCAACGTACCGACAAAGCGCTTAGATGTATACTAATGAGGATTAGAATTACCATCTGAAACGTCGCGTGTAGCAGTGTAGCGCGACATTTTGCCAGCAGTATTGGTGTGTTCCATTTCGAACTCCATCTCCTCTGTGAGTGCCGTGCAGTAATAGTACTACGGTACTTCACTGATTTATTCATCTGAGCTACCAGCTTGCCAGTAACCGCTCATATAACCTTAGATTTGTGACTATTAATAAAACGAACCTTATCATTGAAACGAAATACTTTGGAGATGCAGGTTACTCAATGTTTTCACTCCAGGTGTTGAATCTATATTAGGTTGAGATTTTTTTGGCAACCTACGGAAACGTGCAGATCTGATAGCTCTCGGTATATAGCGCATCCTAAGAACGGAGGATGATTTCATAGTGAAAATTAGGCCGAAACTACTCGCTCGCTACCCAACGTTTTGTGCCTCGTTTGGAGTGTTTGCATCTAGTATTACCGTTAGGGATACTTCGAAACAGGGTTGAACTTACCCAACCATCGTTGTCGTCTCTAAAGTCGTTAGTGGGTAGTTCCGGAAAGATGAAAACCCCAACTAGTGAAACAGCAATCACAGCTAACGGAAGTGCATAATCCGAGAGCAGTTCACGTAGTTTCGGCGAGAGGTACGGCGTTCGGGTGAGATTGGACAAGGTGAGACCTAACCAGAGCGTTGCCAGCATGAGGATAATAAACAGAAGTGATACTTCGCGACGGCACGGACCTACGCTATCAGCGAAACCACCCACTCCGGCTTGTTCAACCAGAACGCCCAATGATGATCTTCCAAGTCCGCTTACCTCATACGCGGATGAAGAGCGATTGAGTTGGCACGGACTGTAGTATCTAGATACGCGACCCACCACCGTCAGTTGGTTGAACGTCAGGCCATGGGGGTGACGATGATGATGATGGTAGTTGTAGGGTTGCATGGACAAGAGAGTGACAAAGAAAAGGCACAAGAGAGGAAAGGCTTCTTATTGTTAGTATCGACACTAACACAGAGTCACTGGGGCCTACAGGATAGAGCCCCTACGCAGCAATCTCTAATAGAAGAGCTTGATCGCCTGACCCACCCGACTCGTCAGCCAGTAAATAGCGCGTTGCCTCATTGCCTAGTCACAGGATTGCCGCCTCATAGCCCACTGCAGATACTGTCTATAACGAAAGAGGGCTGATGACGAAAGATTAATATAATCTTCTAAAAATAAGGTGATTGCAAGGCCTGAAATACAAAAGCCCCAGACAATGGTAAAGCGGCATCAGAGCTACGGAGGCGCCGTGCATCGCGGATTAGTTTCTAACTCTATCTGCCCTTGATATAGTAAAAATGAGAAACTAATTTTCACGTTTCACGCTCATATGATCCTACTTTTGTGTAGCGGGTTGCAGAACCCACTGAGTGACATCGATACCAAAACTGAGATTACGGATCCAACATGTAGCTGAAATTATCCTCTAACACGATGCAAAGTCTTTCTAAGGAAAAAATCCCATCGATTTTAGTTTTGTAGACACCGTTTGATACCGGCCGCGGCATTATCGCTTGAACTTGTTCTTCAAGCCAACAAACTGACTTCAGTTTTTACTTCTCCCATTACAGCTGTCAAATTTCCCTCAAATCCCTCCACAGCATGAACGTCGTGATATATACTGCCCATAGCAAAGCAATTCCGCGGTATAGCAGAACACGTGTTATAAAACCAGTCTAATGCGAATAAGTAAATAAATAACGTGCATCTTGTAGCATACTATGGTGACGATAAGCTTTGTGGGAAAGTGTGCCTGTTTACTCATTCGTAAAGGCAAAGAGCTGGTGGTAGATTAGGGCCATGTACAGTTCAAAAAATAGGATGAAAACAGCTCAATCAAAATGAAACATGGAAAAGAGAAGACCAAAAGTGGGAAAGTCAACTAGCAGTCATAGTAGAGGAGCAGTCATCTTTTTATTACATATTGCTGATACTCGAGCCTTTGAACATTCTTCAGTCTACATAAGTCAATAGAAGTGCCCATGACCGCATTAGCCGATGCGTGTCGTATTTGCAAATGATATTCATATTAGAAACACTCAGTAATTATTGATTATATGAAACATATTTACTCCCCTTTTGTAATCTAGGCACTTGTCCATACCAGGACATGTGCCAAACTGCCGCCAACATGGTCGAATATGGGGTCGTTTATCATAGAATGCTGCGGAGAAAGAAAACGTCGGTTTCTACGGCATATTTTTCAAAATCGAACGTGAGTGGGAAATTCCTGCCATATGCTCGTTATTGAATCCGCAGAGGCCACGCGTAACTCCCAAGTGCGGTAAATCACGATAAGTACCACCCCTCGTAAAAAGCAACGAAATAACTCACGTATACGCGCCAATTGTTCTAAAAGTTTTGGACGTCTCGAAGGACCAAAAATGACAAGTGAAAAGAAGGTTTAATTGGAAAGGATCTTGCTCAAAGGGGATGGACGTGGCGACTGACGATCCAACTCAATGCGTGCCAAGCATAATTCAGTTCATTACTCTTTCGGATATTCCCGGTTTTAGTCATAGAAAATCAATAAAAGACAGGCAGGTAGCCACAGCTAAGCATAGCGCAAGTTTGAGAGGTGTAGAACGATCATCGAGTACCCGGATGTCCACTAACGGTTTTTCCAAAAGCATGCCAATATGTTTTACAACATCGATTTTGATGCTTCGGCAAAAAACGCTTGCCTTCAGTTTTTTAGGCTCAAGAAGAAAATTAGATACGTAATTTGCGAGACGCTCGTGTTACGACTGAGATCATAACTGTATGATTATAAGAACTGTGATACCGCTTTTTAGGAAAGATTCAGAGAGGCTTGAGGGGCGTGAAAGTCGCCATTTTCGATTGTCAAACGGGCATATTTTTGCTGAAGCTGCCTATTTAGTAGAGCCGGCAGCTGTACTGTTACAACATGGGAACTATTGAAGAAAACTTAAAAGCATCTCTGGCCAAAAACAATGTACTTTTCTGCATATGGAACGAGTATGAGTTTCTAAAAAATTCAAATATTGTTGCACCAGCTGTGTCACAGATCTTATAAAGGTTACTGTTGTATGCCTTGCATGTGACGGATATCCTGGTCAAAATGAGAACTCAACAATATCTTTCATGGTCTTATTTTAGTTAAAGAATCACCCGTCTGAGTAAACACAGAAAGTGCAGCTGGTCTTCCCGACTGTTGGCCATTCTTTCTTAATGATAAATCAAGTGATCGGATACACTTAGAGGACCGTTAAAAGCTACACGATTATCATCGTTAACGAAGAATACCATAATACTTTTGAAAACCATTTGATAACGGTGAAATTTGGTGACACTATAGATGATCTTAGAGAGACGGCGATGCAGCGTTTTTTAAGCTATTTTATTTTATTATTTAACCTATTTTAAGCTAATAGAATAAAAAAAAGTAATCTTTGTAGGCAGCGGCGCCAGCTTTGTGGGTTAGGAAGGTGACAGTTATACTGTAGGGTCTGATGCCTTCAAGTCGTCTTTGAAGCGGGTAAGAGGTCTTTTCCTTCTCCACCTTTAGAAAACTTCTGATCTTTCGCCAACAAATCAACGAGAATGAGACGATGTTAAGCTCTTTTCGAGGTAAGGTACGAGTCGATAAAGACCCTTAGCTACGATGGCAGGCCTTTGCACGAATTGGCAACGAACAGCGTTCAAAATGGCAGTAGCTCTGATAACACATGCATGTAGGCCAATTACGCGTAGTTTACCAGTATCCTGAAATCTGTAATAGGGGCCATTATATACGCATTTTTGCGTCTCAAAGTTGTCCAACTGAAAAAAGCATACTTTTTACAAGACGCACCACGAAATCCGGATTTCTTAAGTGTGGAACATAACTGATGATGGCCTTTTATATTAGAGTGTAATGGAGCAATTGCTATATATCAGGCAAATAAACTTGTTCTCTCAAAATCTTCTAAATATAAATATAAAATATATAAAAATAAATAATGAGTTTTGCTATATATATATATATATATATATATATATGTGCGCACTCATATATAAACACACGAAATTACATTTCGAAATGGAAAATCATTGAAATAAATCGAAGTTATTATCTATCGTTTTTAAAAGTAACAGCCCCAATGCATTTTATGATAGCAGATGCAGAGTACAGTCAATTAGCGCGCAACTGGTTACAAATAGGAAAATTTGATTAATATTTAAGGACGTTATAGCAAGCACACTTCGCTAACATTTGTTTTCTGTTTTACAATCTTCGAATCAAGTTAACGACGTCCTTATTAAGTCACAGGATCTAATGGAACACCCTACGCGATAGTAAATAATTAATATCGAGAGCTGTGGCGGGAGCCTACCCATCTTAAAGTCCATCAGTGTTAACCCTTGTCGACTTTGATGTATTTCAATAAAGTATAAAGATCTAATACTAAATGTTGCATGATAGCATATACCACAGTCCAACACGAAGACGTAGCAATGGTTGCTCTTTTCGGTCCGCCTGTGACCTATTCTCTTGCCGAGTTGTGACTCGTGATAAACGACGGATCTTCTACAATAATCGCAGACAGTCTTATTAATGGAAGGATGAAATTCTATTGACGAAACATCGCCCTAAAACAAATGTACAGCCGCAATGGCTTATAATTCTTGTTTTCCGGACTAGTGCAGGTGTTCCTGGTCAGAATTACGTGCTGCGACCTTGGGGATGAGAGAGATTGTTGCCAGCAATGACGCAGGACTTCCATCGAGACAAGTTGACCCTCTGTGAGCTCTATGAAACACAGCAGTCCACGGCACGTGAGCGCTATTTCAGAAAAAAAATCACACAGAATATGTAATACAAGGAAGTTTCGGACACGAAACAAACCTTTGAAAGTTGTGGTAAACGTCTTTTCCCGCATCTACAAACAACGCAATGGTGATAAACAACGAAAATATCTCTTCAGTCGAACGTGTATACCACTGCGTTATCCGGGAGACGTCGAAAACCGCATAGAGTGCAAGGAAGGCGCAACAGAAGAATCCCACACAGGCGTACATCACTCCGAAATCAGTTTTCCATTCTTGGCTTATACTGTGCACGATTTTTACGAACAGTGAAAGCGGCGCCGTAGTCATCAAAATGACAAGCGGTTGGCCACTGATCAAAGAAAAATATAAACCTCCGATCACCTGACTGATAAGCGTTTTCCGGACGTTCAGTCGACCATCGGTATTGGTGTTATTCAGTGTTCCGAACGCGATCACCGGCAGTAGAATGCTGAAGTAGAGAAACAGCGTAGTGGATATCGTCTTATAGATCGAGCGTTGGTCTCTAACGCTATCAGTGAAATCTGACAGATAGTGGGGAAGTCGCCGTCGAAGATCCTGAATAATTCCTCGAAATGGGTAAAATTTAGACTTCGCTGGTGGTTCGAAATCGCCATCTGTTGTCGAGGTTTGAAAGAGGACAAAATTATCTAAATCAGTTAGAATTCTTTTAAAGTCGGCCTCTGTTTTAGCTTCGTCGATGAGTCGATGACGTATTGATGGGTTAGACAGTAGCGTCGCGAATGTTCGTAATACCTCAAGTGGAGTCTTCGTAGCCTTGGTATTAAGTGGTGTTACTGCCGCAACGATGAAATAAACCCGCTCTGCGGTTGAACCAAAATTGACTGGAGTAGCTAAGCGACACACGCCAATGTGGCGGCTGTTGATCGGTACAACGCAAGGGACGCACAAAAAGCTGCTGTTAAACACCATAAAGTGGTTGTCGCGTTGATCGCATGACACTGACACAAGTGAATCGGAAATAACATTACCGCTATTAGCGAAACAGACACCCTGTAACGCAAAATTAACCAGCTTCGAATTCCCGCTTAACATTTTGTTAAGTAGTAATTCCATGATAATGACTAAACTGTTCTCATGGATGTCCATGATAACCGAGATTTCGGACGCGAGGTCCCGGGCAGCGCGCACTTCCGAATCGAAGTCCCGTAAAGGCACCTTTCTAAGAGACTTGTGTACAAGAAGCTGAGTCTTACCAACCAAGGTTTGAATACCTGCTGTTCTATCTGGATCATTACTTTCATCGGTACTACAATTTTGGTCGGGAAACATAATAACTGTTATAGCTGTGGTACAGCAGGTCACGATTGGCCAAGAAAAATGTTCAGCCGGCTACCAAAATGTTGCCCCTGCTACTCGCTAGAGGTCGATGCGTAGGAGCTTTTATGTTTCGAGTTTTACGTCCGGCGTCGCCATTAGCCATTCCATCAGACATGTAAGAACTGGCAGGAAGTAAATTTAATCTCTGTCGTTATTCTTTTATGACACGGTTGCTCACTTAGATTACGACTTTAATCTTGGTAGGCCATATCATGGCATGATACATCAGTCATGATGTTTCCATGCAGTTTGCTGTAGCATTACTCCTCGATTGGATTGTCTATTATAGACACTACTATACGTGATATAAATACCCGATTAGCTGCGTTCAGATCTGATGTAGAGTATGTTGCAAGAACGATACAACCTAAAACTGTGTAAATGTGTTGTGTTCACATAATTAACTATAAATCTTAAGTTCAAGTTTTGCTCTAATATACACATAACTAAAAAAAATCGGTGGTCTTCCGAGTCAGTCAAAGCTGAAATTTCGAACGATGGAAGTATCAACCCGTGGAAGCCGTTGCACGTAAGAGCCATTTCAATGTATATGGAAGCTTTAATAAAACATAGACAAAAAAATAAGAGAAATTAAATTCTATCAAGTTGGATGGTTCTGATTATAATGTTTAAATATGGCTCAAGATGGATACAGGCACCGTACATTTAGATAATAGAAGTAATTTCAACAACCATAATTTTGAAAGAAATATGCCTTTCAACACATATAGTCGTAAAAATTGCTATTAATATAATACCATGGTTGATAAATATCGTCCCCCCATAATTGATTACGATTGATATCACTGACCTATCAGCTAATGGTGACCACCTCTCGTCACGGTACCGGTCGTTACTAGCAATAGTTTACCATTTACTCGGTCACACGCTACTACGGCTAAAACTGTTACCTTACGAAAAAAAACCGACACATAATATAGTATATCGAAGGTTAGAAAGCTGGTTTCTAGCAACAGCGTAGCTTCTTATGTTCCACGAAATGCTTCGCCATTAATGCTTCGTGCTGCTTAATAATGATCTCTAACTTCCTAACTTCATATTGACACAATTGAAAGTTGTACTTTATGTTGAAATCATTGTTAATGATTTTCAGTTTAAAAAAAAAAACGCTTGCGATGACTGTTTTGACTACGTTTCGTTTACGACTCTCGTCGGTCTATTAGGTAGCAGTGATCGTAGATGGTTGCTAGGACTCTAGTCGTAAGAAAATCCTAGTCCAGGAGGGATATGCTGCTAAGGTACAAAGTTTATGAAGAGAGAATTCAAAGGTCTAGATTACACCCTCCGGTCTTCTTCATTCTTGACATTATACAAGACGCCTTGTTTAGCTCTTTTTCAAGCCGATAGGATACCCATTCTTGGTATTACTCAGAGAGTGGTCTTAATCGCTGAGTATGATACTGTATGTGATATGCAACTTTTACCTTTGAGATATATAATTTCTCAGTCTCAATCAAAACGCAATTGTATTTTATTTCTTTAGGAATCCTTTAAGGGCTTTCTGTACTATGACATAGAATTGAAGATAACAAGGATCCATTGTAGTTTCCGAAGGATAGGGATTCTATTGAGCTGTAAAGGAGCTACTGTTGAACTTTTTCTATTGGGCAATGATTCATGCGTTGTATCTTCGCGCTGACTCTGCAGAGATGGCTTGCGCCAACCATGAAGGATTTACTGCTGATTCCGTTTTCGACTTTACAAACTATAATTATAATAATAAAAAGAATAGGCCCATATAAGGAATATTAATTCTTTTAATACGCGTACAAAATGAACGCATACTGGCATATTAGATATCTAAACTGGCGAATGTTTACATAGGAGCAAGTAGTATAGGTCTTTTACTTGTGAACGATCATGACCGTGAATAGATATGTGTGCGTAAGGCAGCTGCATAGGCTGTACATGTACCCCATTAAATTTTTCAATTATCTGAGAAAGAATATAAGAAAATCTGAACGAATAGTACATCTTCGTTATTTAATAAAGAATACTAGTGGATAACATAGTCTACTGGCACTGGTAACTACTAGCTTGAATTAGTAATGACTGAAGTAAGGCGCTGATCTTAGTGGAAGCAGGAGTCTCTTGGACTGATGAATTCTAGTTAAAGGAAATGATTTAAATTTAATTTTAACTACGGCTTTAGTTGCATACCAGAAACGGGTTCATCGAGGGCAATGTTTCACATTAGTGTGATGAGGCGAAAAACGTCTGAAGATATCTGCCAAAAAAAAATGAAATAACTACAAACAGTAAATTTCTAATGAGTGGCCTTGTGCTCTAACTAATTTATGCTGCCATTCGTTACGTGAGTGTTTTAGAATGGTCGAAACGTACAATACTCTGCCCCACGACTACAGTCATCGAAAAAATCTGCTACGTCAATAAACACGGATGCATTGTACGGCGAGCTACTAAATGAATAATGGCCCCACGCTGGATCGGTGATGCGGTACTCGGCTACGATGCTTCTGAGCTCTCGTTTGAGCAGCGTCTGTTCTGCAGGCGGGGCATATCGATCACCTTCACTCCAGTAGAGTTTGATCGGCACCTGTTTCGATGTAACAATGCAACATTAACATTACACATTATTATCGAACACGCAGCTAACAAAATAAGTCTTGTGTGTTATAAGAAATATCTCAAAAGGGCGACAACACGTATTTGTTATACTCTCACGTATGTGTCTACCTGTACGATCACATCAAACGGGATCTGGTTGTTGAAAATGTCACGGGCGACAAGGGAGGCTTGCTCGATTGTCAGAAGTCGAAAACGCAGGCCAATTCCATGTTCGTCTGTGTGCATCTTTGATTAGGTGAGTCAGTCGCTGATATAGATTGCCACAGGTATATTAAGGCAAGGTACCTTCAGCCATTTAATTAGATACAAGTAAAGTAGTTTATCGTCTGCAACATGGGCGCGTATGTGCGGGCAGTACATATAACTACTATTCCTTATATAACTCATTGAAATATTCTGTTGTCTTTGACAAGTTAATAACATGTAATCTTAGCTCTGTCAACCGAACAGCAGTAGAAAGTATATTTTTATATATTAAATATAATTCGAGCTTTCTTCACTTAATTACATATATCTCCTAAAACAAGCGACCCCTAATTTTTTTCAAGCGCAGGTTGCGTACAATATTTGCACAGGTAACGTATCAGAGTACTCCGCGTGACTAGGTAGAGCGGTATCTGCCCATAATTGCACACGATAAAACAAAAAGCCACGTCGAGTTACAGCATAAGAGGTCGTAATAAGCGGAACCACGACCCGTGGGCGGTTTGGCAACTATACGATGTCGTAGACAGCTACGGTAAGTCGACAACAACAAGGCGTCATACGAATAAAAAAATATTACACACAGTTGTAGTCGTTACGTTTTATGTAGCGAAACGACAAAGCTACTGTTATACAATGGGTGCAGTGCTTCTCGAGGAAACACGCATATATGAGGTTCGTATAGTCTGGTTTATATAGGCCCCACTAGTCTGTGTCGATATGATGCATAAGTATTTCTGAATAAATGGTACTCCAATAGCTATTCCACTCTCCCTATCTTTCTCACTTTCCTTTACATCAACCGCAGCGGCGGGGGTAACGGCGGTCGTTCCCCACCGCCATCAGTCTCTTCGAGGTTAGATGTGATTTATGGAGGTTCTTACGTGCGTCACCGTGCGTCATATTAGGTCGGGCAGGTCGGGCAAACGTGGTCCATACGAGGAAGCCCACCCGCTCACCCATAATACATCTCGCTAGTACATCTCCCATAAACCGCCACACCACGACGCAGGGACGTAAAGAAACCGAGCCATATCCTGTTGTGTTGTGTAGGCATAATGGCCGTATTAGTCAGAAACGGTGTTCATTCTGAAAAGCTACAGAATGTATACCTTCTTGAACCATGTATGGATGCGACTTCTATTTTTCAATTTGCATTTAACGTTTGGACGTTCTATTCGGGAAAACAGCAAAAAACGTCCAATTACCGACGAACTCATTCGCGGTCATCCCAGTTGACCAGTAAATACAAAATAGTCATTATCAAATTTAACTCGTTAGCTGTTAAGTGGCCCGGAAGGGGTTACTAAGTTATAATCAACAGCCAGCGCATTTTCGATGCTGCTATATGTGTTTAATCAATAATTATATGCACAATTGATTTGAAGCTGAGTTCGTTTTTTAAAGACGCGCTCTCGAACTAGCTAGCAACGTCACAGCTGAATTCATCATAATTTCAACCGTTTATCGTGAAGTCACTGCGTATCGCGACTCAGTCTTCGGAGCTTAGTCAATCATTGGACAGCTCATTCTTGTCTAAGCAAGAGCTTTTGAATGAGGTCACTGCATTGCCGTCCGTTAGCGCTTACGATAGGTGCTAGGCCAGTACGACTTAGAGCGTCGCAAAAAATTCTGTGGATGGACTTCTCCGGCTGAAGACGTCCACCAGCCACATATTTTAAATTTAGCGCCTAAATGCTATGCGTGGCAAAGCTATCCATTTACGCATTTATACATAATTACTCCAATTGGTTTAGCACGCAGCGACCCTAACTAAAGGGTCGAACCAGCCGGTGTAACTACATGATAACATAGCCAGTTGGGAATTTTGTATTCGTCTATCATATTTGATACGCGTGTCTATAAGTTTCTGAAACAAAGTATCAAACTACCTATCCACTCATAACTCTGCCCTTCTCTAATGCTTTAACATTGTTTACTCAAGCGGAAAACTGTTTGAACGCCGCCGACATTTCACGGGAAACCTACCGAGGCAAGTTTGCGTATAATCCCAAGACTTTTCTTTGCTAAGCGGATGAATCGATAAGTACGGCACATAGCTGCATTCCCAGATAGATTAAATTGCACTTACGTGAAGTTCCACTTGATATGCGTAGTTTATATTTAGTTGATATAATACTACTTTTTTCATTTCGCTAGCCCTGATCCATAATGCTGCTATATATTATAGCCATTTGTAAGAACTTGATATGCACTTGAAAAAATCTTATGTAATGAAAAGCTTTATAGAAAACATATGACACAACTGGGAGTAACCTTTGCATAGGCTTGCAGGTAGGAACACTTTCATTTGTGGGAGTGTTGATACAGGAATGAAACAACTTCGGTAATTAACACTAAAAGTACGAATAATAGTGATAAAAAAAAAAAAAAATTGGAGGTATACAAATAGTAGAATAGAAATGAAAATGCCTGTTAGGTTATCTTACATGGATATTTTGTGGATCCAGGATTGGAGGTTCTGTTTGGCCATTGTACATCTCGGGGTTGAGTTTTTTCGCGTCGCCAAATACCCCCCACAAGAAGCGTCCACTTCCTCGACCGCGAGGTTTAACAACACTGCTAATCGTATCAGGCACCGTCGTTGGTGGCCTATGGACTACGCTGTTGTAACGAGCGCGTGTCCATCTACCGGTAACTGTCGCTCGATCAAAGTCATACTCTCGAACCTGTTTACATTGTAGGATGGATTAGCAAATTCATATCGTTACTTCTCTAGAGCAACTTATATCTTGTCCCAGCCGTCAAGTCGCGCACACATCTTATTTGCTGGAGTTGTTTATCTGTATCAGTTGGATCAATTATATCGCTGTCTATATAGTTGTCAGGTGATATTGGAATGCTTGAAGGATAGCTTACTCAGTTTCGTAAATTAGCCCTCATCATATTTATATATATATATATATATATAAAATAGCATCAGATTCGCGGGGATTTTCGAAATTCTTCGCCTTTGTTTGTGGGACATTTTTCGACAGAAATGGGTGTGTTACGATCGAAACTTTGTACAGCTATGAAGAACAAAGTACAGATTTCTACTTCATACCATCAAACTAGCATAAGCATTTTTGCCCCCTTCGCTTACAATTGTTCAGACTAAATTCATTTTTACAATGTCCAGAATGGGCAAGGCAGCTGAAAAAGCGCATACCTCATTCCAATGCGTTGTACACTGGTCTTCCTGCATAATCTGTGAATAGTAGAGAAGATTCATTTTCGACGTACCAGATGGAAAGTGATTCATGTACACAGGGAAGCGTGTCTGTAATCCAATTAGCGCAAAAGCAAATAAATCGTACGCTATTCTATCTAATTTTTTGAAGGAATGTGCTAAGGCAGGACATTTCATGATGAGGCTGCATGCACAGAGGTGCTACACTGAAATAGAAAGTGTCCTGATTATGAAGACACGATCTGGCTACGAAGAAGATTTCACTTGGCTTGGCTCATAAAGCAGTTGACAGTATTGAAAGAGAACAACGCGTTTCCCTTTCTTCTTGCTACTGGCCTAGATAATAGTGGAACCTGTCATTGTTTTGATTGACGATTTGACAAAAACGCTGGCAGTGTCCTCGGAAGACGTTTTATACAGCCCGACTATGATTTAACAGTAGTTGTAGTGCGCTAATTTTCGAGTGATTTGAATAAAATCAGAATGCAGACTTAGCAGACTTTGCGTCTAGTTGATTGGCCCAATTATGCACATCGGCGCAATAAAATATTATATCTTGATGGGGGCGCGAAAGAAGCGAACGTCAGACCAGTTTTGTGCTACAAAATGCGCCCGAGTGTGCCTTTTAACAACAACTCGACCAATGCTGGGCTACCCACCTGGAAGCCCCAAGGAGAAATCACCTATTCATTGGATCTACTACTAAAATTGAGACTAACCTAAATGATTGACGCATAGTTTCTTTCTGTTTGCAGGTTAACTAAGGAATACTCAAAATATTACTAACGAATGACTTAAGTCCCAAATGATTACGGTGAACGTATCCGCAACGCTCATATTGAGTGTACATGACCATCAGGAAAGACACCCTTAGCGCATGCAAACAGTTCGTTAAAATGTGTATTTTTCTTTAATGTGTAAAGGAAAAACTGTAAAGATTTCTTTATTGCATTTCCTTAACCTTTATTCAAGGGCCGTTATTAAAGTATATGCCGGAAACTCAAACGCTGTCATAAGTGCATTACCCACAAGTTAGGAAGAACCGTTCTACCGGTACTTTCTAACGAAATAATGGTTTTATGTGTACACTGTATTGTATAACGTTGTGGTCCTTGTGTCGAATGATCTCCTTTGTTAACTTACCGTATTGAGATATTTGATATCGGTGTACAGGAAGGTCCTTGTGTACCATAGGCACAGCTTGTCTGCTATGTCACAGGCCCGATCGAGCATAGATATCTTCGGCATGACTTCGATTATTGACAGGCGCTGCGTAAATGCATGCAATATACTACTGGTATTACTACTTGTATGAATTAAATATTCTGTTTAACTATGTTAATTACTTTGCTATTACTAGTAGCCTTTACAAATATTATTATTGCCTCCTAACAGTTATCTTGATACCTTATCTTAACATCTATTGGCCGCGTCCCAATGAAGTGGCGAGAAGCCCTCGGCGACAGCCAAAGAAAAAGGCCATCCCAAAGGACCATCCGATTGGCAAGGCATCCCAAAGAAGAGTTGTTGTTATAAGTTACTATCCCAACTGCTCTTTCATCGGTTATCGCAGTACTTCGAGCTCGTCGGTATGATCCCTGAGGAACGGTACGCTTTTAGTTGTAACACCCCACATATACAGCATGTGCCATTCCTTTGAAAAACCTCGGGCAAGCCCTACCCAGCCGCTGTCAATGCCTATTTGTGGTCTTCGTGGGCCTTTAGCCAGCATTTGACATCGCTTTAACAAATACTGCCCTCCACAGTATAGCTTGTCCTGCAGTGCTTGACAGTGTTGTGCAGCTGCTGAGGGCAATACTGCAAGAAAACGAAATTATTGAAAATGAAAATGTCATCCAGTTGAATTCTGCCAAGCAAACCGCAAGGTGACAATCTTCGTCCGCTTTTGTTCTTCGTAACGATCAGTGATTTATCGGGAGAAATTGAAAAGCACTATTCGCAAGTAAAGCTTCTTTCAGATAGATGAAGCTGACACCATCTGTAGCAAGCATTAGCTACCCTCGAGAAACTTGTTGAAGAACCAGGTCTAAGAGTCAAATTGCACAACATGGAAGCAATGAAGGCCTGTCGCGGAGGCACATTTGCTGAAAGGGACATGCTTTGGCATAGCGGGTAGGTGGTTTACGATATCAATTCCTTTACATACTTAGGAATAATGTTGAAACACCGTAGGCGGTCATTCGGAAAACGAGCATTCATTTAAAACAGCGCTGACCCCTTTCGGCGTCAAAGTACTCTGTACATCGCGCCGAATATTATCAAGGTGGAAACACCTCGAGGCCAATCGCGTAAAACCAGCTTTTCTAAAACACATCCCTGGATTCCGCACTTCAGCAAAGAATAGGCTTATCTATCTGCTCGCTGACGCGCCACCATTGGTTAAACAGCTCAGGAGACGGTTCCAAATATTTAAGAGTACGAGTAAAATGCACCCAAACTTCTACCGAAAGGGGTTTGTGACGAATTTTTCCTAAAACGACGACAGGACACGCCGGCAGGTTGTAGCTAGCCACGGGGTCCACGAGTCTCATAGTTGTCATCTGTCTGACTTGTGGCTACCACGACCTGAAAAAGGCTTGCCGATGCCGGCGATACGAGGGTTCATTCTGCCGATACCAGTGACATACGAATCTGTCCAAAAATGAGCTGACACGTAAATTCCGCATTATCGAACAGATAGCAATCATGAAATGTTTACGGAACAATGCCTACATCTTTTAGGCTATCGCTCCTTTGATTTGCCGCGTAGATAAGTCAAATCATTCTACTATCATGGTTATGTTATATCATATTTATCTAGCAACATACTAATTAACTTTGATTAAACATTAACAAATGAGGTCGTTCAAATTGAAGAACTCTGATATGCTTGGTTTCGAATTTTTCCATTTTGAATTTCCAAGAAATCGCGAGTAATACCCCAGGAAGAACGCAACGTTTGGAGGTCACCTTTCGAATTATTCCAGATAAATCAGTGTATTCTTATCTTTATCGTGGTTTCTACCGCCAGCCAAAAGCCTTTGATCATCCATGTATTGCCCCCTTTTCCAAGCAGGCAGGCAAATAACTGTTAGAACGTGTAATAAGTGAAATTTTCGAATTGCAATGTTATACGTACGCCCAAAACGGGCTATATATATGCTATACGAATAAAGCTACTGGTTTTGCTTCAGCCAGTTAGTGTCGTTTCGGAGATCGAACACGGCTCGATAAAAAAATCTGCCTTTGTATTACGCTGCGCTGGAAATTTTTCATTTTCATTGATGAGTAGTCACTGGATCTTATGCGCTTACTCGTGCGACTATATTATATGGTGTCCTTTCGAATATTCTCTATATTTATCTAGAATAGAATTCGTTTACGTACGTACCCCCAAATAGTTTTCCAGCGTTGAGGCAGAATTTAGCCACCAAATGTTTATGTGACACGAGCGTCTGAACGTTCCAAGCCCGGCCATTGCGCGAAGCTTTCTGTTATATTCAGGTCTTTTAGCGAGCAGAGCATACAACGAAGCGCCGCCTTGTGACATGCCTGAAATAACAAATATCATATATATATATATATATATATATTTATGGTCTTCCAGAATATATGGGTGCATGATACGCTTGGTGCATTATTTTTTCTTTGGTAACAATTTTTTGGTAACGATGCAAACGAATGTTGCCTCGACAGTGCTAAAAATAATATAAATACCAATATTATGTGAGTTATAATAGTAACTTAATAATAATCTAGTAGATCTTAAGAGTTAATGTTAGCTTGTGCTTCTAATCAACTGTTTTCTAACAAGCTGTTATCATGAATTTTTCCGAAAATTAAATCCTGCTTGTTGGGACAGCTAAGCCCCAAAGCCACTGGCCCCAACAGATATGTTTGTACGGTATCAAGCTAGAAAATCGGCTTTAATGCCCGCAACTACAGCTGCAAATAGAGGAAAATTGTGAAGTTTAAGTTTTCTTACCAGCGTAGTACACCTGTTCACGTCCAGTGACTTTTAGGGCATAATCAATTTGCGCAGATAAATCCTGTAATAGAATGATATTTTTCCTGACAATGTTATACTAAATAACATTAATAGAAAGTATAGTATCGTTTTCGCATAACAGGCAGTGCAAAAAGCTATAGCCTAATTGCAGACCTCTGTTGCCTCGACCACTCGTCCGCCCTCAGCGTACACCCATATGAAGTCCTCCATTCATACAGGAACATAGGAGCGCTTACGGTACAGGGGTCATTTTTGTGTAACATAAAGCATATCGAGGGTGCCGAACTTCAATTTAGCTGGTCGCTCTTCTACAATACAATAGACATCTCTCGAACAATTGCATTGAAAGCCTTTATTTACAGGAACCACCGGAAACGGTGTCAACCAGGTATACTTATGATGTTCAATTACTGCTATTTCTGTATAAAGTTTTGACAATATCCTACCTATTTAGGGTCCACTTATATTCCTATAACTGAAGTAGTTCACCATATATATATATATATATAAACTTTATTTAATTTTTTATATTATTATTTCTTATTTATGTATATAAATTTTTGGTTGGACTAATTGTCGTTCTATGTAATGTTTTCCATTTTTTTTTTCATCACTACCTAATATTTACTATGAGATTTTGTGCGAGCGTGTGCCTAGATCACTAAAACACTGTGAATTAATTAATTTACGAAAAAAATGATATCTAAGCATGCTTTTAGTATTAGAAGTATTTCAGATTATCGAGTGTACTTGCCTTGGCTCCTATGTCAATGAAAGTATATTGCCAAAATTTGATATCGTAAACACTGAGGTTCGTGTGATGTTTTCCAAAAGAAGATCCCCTTACGTTTGTCAGCCAAACATCGTAACCACGATCCGCCAAGATGAAGCCTGAAAGTGTTACGACAGTGTCAACACTGACGAATAATATCTCACATAGATATAATACAGTTCATTACGCTGTTGTTTCAGACTACGAGAGTTAACGCAATCCATTGTGAAGAATTGCCTAGCAGGCCAAATGAAACGGTCTCCGTTTGGTTTCAAAGGCTTCCTAGGAACAACATCCTACTCTTTTAAATATATTTTTATATTTATAGATATTTGTTTTAAATGAATTCCTTATTCTAAAACATTGTGTCATACTTAGTAAGCTTTAGGTGGGTAACAGTAAAACGCTGCATAGCATTAATTAATAGGCAATAAATTATATGTCAAGGATAAGTAGTGTTGAATTGAGAGATACTGGTCCGTAAGGTCCGTAAGCTATATTATATACCGAAGGAGTTGTTGGGGAAGTCCATGACCCAGATAGTACTTTCAGTTAACAGCGGCGCGCCCAATAATGCAACTCTTCGGTTGGGTTTTGGAGGAAGCGACCCTTTCTTCTGTTCGGTAAGCCTCCCGTGAGGAATGCGATGCATTGTAATGATGTATCCATCTTCGGTGGTGACATAGTGTTTTTCAAAGGGATAGCCTTTTGACGTAACAAGGTACTCCTACAGAATAGGCAGCAAAGCAAGTTATTTTGAAAAGGAAAGCTCATCCGACCTTGGCGCCAATTTTTACAAAACTTAAACACATATATTTTAAAACAGTACGTATGCATAGACATTATAAGAGCTTCCATTACAGGAAGTGAGCTGAAATGTGACAATTTCGGCTGTATTGACATTAAACATAGAGCAATTATGAGAAAGAGGTAAATAAGATAGCGTATTACTGTGATAACAACCCTGCTTATTAGGCAGAGCATATTTGCTGGCCACGAGGGTTCTTTGAAAATGTCTTTTAGCCGAGCATCCAGAAAATATCCATAACTTTATCATAAACAGTTATACATATCATATGAATATTATCAAGCTTAGGTTTTCTTTTGCCTATTCCTTATCCATTGAAAAATTGTCAAATAGCGCAAACTTGTTTAACGGATATGTGATGTTGCAATTACCAAGTAGTTATATATTTCTTACTTAATACGCAATTAACTGGTTTTTTTTATCACCTATACCACGTATATGGTATAAGTGATAAGATAATGCCAAAAACGTGTGTTGATAATTACCAGCGATAATTAATCTGTAAATGCAGAAAAATTTGAATTGTACGCTTACCTTGTAATTTATTATAAAAGCAATACCCTTTCGATGTCGTATATTATAAGTGCAAACAATAGAGATATTATAATGAACGTCCCTATTGGCACATATGGTACCGTAGCTCGAACTTACTACCCTCACAGGCACTATAAACTGATTCATCCTTTTTTTTTTTTATTTGTTTCATTAAATTTTCTATTCAAACAATTTGATCAGTTTGAGCGCTCAATTTCAAACCAGTTCAATAACAAATAACAGATACTGGAAGAAAGTTGAACCTTTTAACATAAAACTAACATATTTTCGAATATAAAATTTTACGAAAAATAAGCTAAACAACAACTATTGCTATAATTTAGTTAAGTTGGCGAAGCTAAGTTAGCGAAGCATATTCCTGAATGCATATTTATTTGACTTTTAACAGCTGTGAGGTTTCTTCAGGTACTACGACTGCATAACTTTTCGAAGTACGATAGTATGCGTTCTCTAGAGTACCAGTTATCACATCAAGCATAGATAATAACAAGTGACTCAAAACTTACTATAGACTTATGGAAGTCAGGGTCAAGATTGCGAAGATTATGTCCTGACGAAAATATACTCGTCAATGGTTTTCCATTAAATCGCTTCTCGGGATCAACACCATCAGTTTCAGTTTGTAGCAAATTATTGCTTGAAATCTTCATTGTCTCATTAGTCACGAAAGACGACGTTAACGCCAATGAATATGCCGTTTTATAACACACAATCACGAACGCTAGCTTTAGTCTGGAACACATAGTTATACTTGGACTAACAATGAAAACTTGGCACGACTCAATATTACTAAGGGAGTTCTATCTGCTTTTGCTTCGAGATGCCGGTCACTGAATTTGGATTGTCAATAAGGCTTGGTGCAGAGCTAGGTCGTAGGCCAAATGAGTTCAAATCAGACCAATGACTATACTAATGGGTCCTAACTTGTTTCATCCGAGAAGCGGCCAGTTCACCACGAACCGGTATGCGAACGTGAGTTTCACGCCGCAGTCCGGATTTATATCCGGGGTCGTCACCGCGTGAGGTGTGTGCGGCTTGCGGAGCTTTTCTACAGGCCATTCAGATCATGTGCAGAAAGCCAGGGCGAAGTGGGGAGTCTGATAGACAGATATAGATAGCTCATCCTAAAGTCCATTAATTTAAAGGTCAGCAAGGTCGCGTATCTGCGATGTCAGATATGCGGAACTGAGCCTCTGTCTGTACCTGTTTTGCCATTAGTGGACACAATAATGTGGCATATTTTGGGAATGTTTTCCGTTTCTGTGGGTCTGGGTCGATGATTGCAATAGACAGATGCCAACACGAAATTCTATGGTAGCGTGGTTCAGGTTCCTATCGTAGCGCAATTAGCACATGGTAACTAGAACCAATTATGTCGTTGTTGGCATTCTTACCGAAGTAAAGCAAGTTTCAGATCAATGTAGTGATGGGGCTTTAGAACATGCTTATCTAAAGTGACTAAAACACAATACATTAGTTTGCACGCACACGTATTTATATATAGGGATTTACTAATAATATAAAGCAAAACAATTATAGATTGTGGAATAAGGATTACATTGCATTGATTGAAGGAAGTATGGAAGGGCATTTACTAAAGGCAAACGCTAGCCTAGTTAGTTAAAACAACAACTGAAGTGATATTAATTAACATAACTATATAGAAGAGCTGAATAACCAAGATAATAATTCTATCTGAATACTGCTAAAGAATGAACCACTTTCGGTAGATATTCGAGCGGCGGTTTTTTTCAGTTTTAGCATTTTTCAGCGAAAGATTACGGACTGAGATGTCTCTTCTGATTTATGTATGTGTACGGTTAATATAATAACAATTATTATTATAAATATAATAATTAATGCGGTGCACAATGTCTTTAACCAGACCTATAAATATACATATAAAACTGAACCGGACTCACAACTTGGGGTCGTGGTCATGAGAAAGGGAAGTGTTTTTAGATTTTATTTTATTTTAGTGTACTGTTCTCTGGCGATTTTATGAGGCCCATGCAACCTTCGAGTGGTTCGCTCTTACCCTCTTGCTGGCCTCATGATTTTAACTGAGGGCTGTGCGATGACTGAATGAGAGACACGAAGCCGGGTATCGAGTTCCACTAAGAAAATGGTTAGTTTGCGAACAACACTGACTAGCTGGGCAGATATCGCAGGCCGAACGCTGTAACACGAGAAGATTGCTGGGAACTTTTTGCACGATTGCCCTAGCGGCATCCACTACGATGGCAAAACAAGTAGGAAACGGGCTTTCCGCCATTCATTGCGCTATCTGCTCACTGTTCGAGGAGAATACGATTGTGTCGTAGCGGAAGCGGTCATCTGAAAATCAGACGAACACAAAATAGTAGTGGAATTTAGGTATAATTGTCATAATAAAGCGTTTACTGCTCAATAGTTGACCAGGGCAAAAGATATCACAAGATTGTATGAGTGTAGTTGTTAATGAAGCAATTTTTCACTGCGAAATCTACGTGATCAATCTTTCACTGTGAACAAGTAGTATATGAGTAAATGATTTGTTACGTTGCCGCTTCCCTAAAATGCAACATCTCTATGTAGCTACGATAGATGATGAATACCGTACCTTGCCTGTGCCGCGTTTGAACTTTTTGTTTTTTTATTTAATGCCGTTTTGTGTCAACGATAACAAGGGCGTTATTAAAATGACTGCCATTACAAGGTATCGACTGGAGTCGGTGAAGGTTATTTTATGTTCTCAAATGCGCAAAATATATTAAGATTATTCGAGGAGATAGACCTCTTGGTACCCAGTTCAATGACCGGGTGCAGGTCTTTTGTTCTATATGTAAGACAGTGGGTGTTTTTGAAATTTCGTCCAGTAAAAGCTCATAACTCTAGAAAACAGGAGCATTTTGTTTCCTAGAGATATCACAGGCACAAGTTGAATAATAGGTGTTTATTGGATTTAGTAACATCTATCCACTTGAATAATGATTGGAATAGTATTGGTGAATTTCAAAACCTATTAATTAACTCGTCAAACTGGTTTTAACGGGCAGAATCATGTGAGATTAGGTCTCCTGAAGAAAGCATCTGAAAGACCAGAAAGCTACTGGCCTCTGTCTGACGGATTAGTAATACCACTGATACAGGGATCAGAAGATCACCTTCATTTTAATCAATCGCACACGGGACAAACCCTTCCGAGTTGGTAGCCACGTGAAGTACCTTGCTCTCTCCGTCGTTTGTAGCGAAACAAAATGAACAAGAGGGAAAAACCTGTCCATGCAGGAGCGAAGGATGGCGGAGGCGCACGGGCGTGCTTTACTCCGAAAACGCTGCGTCGACTCGACGCAACGAAGGAGTGACTGATGCCTGAGGCTACAGCACACTACTGACATAGAGGATATACATGCACCTCTTAGGGAAGACAGTCGCTCACAAACGTGAATGTATAGACCACCTTCCCTATGAAAGTGGCCGTCGCTTCTCCTTATAAGAGATAGTGAAAACCTAGCGAAGAGATCGCTAGAAGATGGGTGAGAGTGAGACGGAGAAAATAGCGCCCACACACACATACGCCTTCAGCCAAAGATAGTGACGGTGAAACCCCAACCTAGCTTGACCCCTTTCATCCCCTTGGCTTGTGAAACTTTATAGACGCTGCTGCAGAACGCTCTGCATTGCCTCGGGCTGAGCTTGCAGGGGAACACTCTAAGTCTCGCACGAGTGAGACAGATTGTGGAGGCTAACGGCGCTATGCCATGCTTGGATGTAGGATGTACTTGGCTAGACCTGGTGCGGAGACACTAGCCCGTGCAACACAATGCGTCCTGGTATGCCAGTTGCCGAGGTACACAACGGACCTGCGTGGACTTAGAAGCTGCTGTGCCTACGTCATGTATGGCGGCAAAACTCGTTTCTTGTTCCTTCTTCTTTGTCAGGCCTTCCCGTTGCCTTGAGACGGCTGGGCGACGTCAGTTTATCTCCGGCAGCTTCTTTCGCGTACACGAAAGCACCCATGGGCAGAAAGCATTAACACGAGAGAAACAGAGTGTTGCTGGCAGCGGTGGGGTGTCAAGAAACTTTGCTTCAATATTTGTGTCAACTCCAATTGTTCATCTGAATAGAGTAACATAAACTAGCTAGCGGTAGTACCAGGTTGTACGACTTATTTTCAACTAGCCCATTTCGTTATGTCGGCTTCTCTTTTTTCTTTTCAGTCATTGCAGCATTGAGATGCCGCGTTACAAATGAACCGACAGGTCTTCCGTAATCGAGGAAATTTCTCTGCTACCTTCTTTCTATAGAAGACAGTGAAATTGCGCTATTCTTCCGCGGATTAGGGACTAGATACCGCATCCAAACGTGTTGCAAATTTTCCATTCTGCAAACGTACTAACGTTTTCTCGATAAAGACACGAGTGGGCGTTGGCAACGTTTTCAGGTCGAAAATTCTTGGCCTTGCTTTACCTATTCTCTAGACAGCGACCTAGGCTAAAATGATAACCTTGTAGTTCAAGAAATACAACTACAACGAAGCTCTGGATATGTACCTATCGGAACTCTCGCTTGATTAGACTTCATATAATAGTAGTACGAATTCGCGTTGTACAATGGCAAACGAATATTTTTAAATAACGTAAAAGTATTCTCTAGATACATTGGCTGTATAGAGTCGCACGACGGTTTGTAGCAAATAAACTTTTTTTTTTTTAATAATGCGTCTGCTTTTTTGGAAGAAGTGTAATAATACATGACGTCTCTCATTTACTGAACATCACACTAAAAACCTTATCACTGGCCTGGAAATTCGCAATGGGTCTTTCTTTTGTATCGTGAGCAAGGTACAATCATTTCTGCGGTTGATTTTCTTATCGATAATAACTGCGATAAGGTCTGTATTGTTTTTTTTCACTACTCTTTTCTGAACGGTACTGGAAGCTACTTCTGCTTTTTGTGCAAACGCATACGCATTTGATAGTATGTTGATTTAAATAAACCCAAGAGATTTAGCATGCCGTTGGCGTTTCTTTCAGGGCAAAAATATTGATTTTTGGTCAAACGACGTACGGGTTTTCTTCCATATTGAGTTTCTAGTTTTGCTTTAAAAAGAATTAGCTTTTTTAGTAACAAAAATAGCGGATCAGCTGATGTACGAAATTAGAACACCCTGTAGACACCTACCGACAACGGCTCGCTTTACTGTTAAACAAGCTTACTCTGAAGCTGGTTGGAACATTCCAACTGATTCGAAACGCGAAATATTACCTTTCCACTTCTTCCAGGATTGATGCTCGTCAGCAGCCTGCTTTAACATATACATAACCTCAAGATATATAAGAGGTTCGCCCGGTTTTTGGGAATTATTTTTATCTAGGGCAATGATAGCATGTCAGTGCATATGGTGTCGACCAGACTTGGAGCGCATCGAATGGGTTTCAACAGGGCCAACCCAGGATTAAGCGGTCGCGAAATTTAGCTTTGAGGGGCTGAACGGATACTGGAAAGAAGGACCCACGGGCGAAACTCTTCTATCTTTGCATGACCGTAAGAACCAACTAAGGGCTTATATATATATATATATATATATATATAATAGAGGCTGCGCACATTTATGGAACATAAAAGAATGCGAAAGAAAGAGGGACAATGAAGATAAGGCAGACGACGCGCAACGACAATATGTAACAATAATAACAGTCGCAACAACAGCGCTAGGATAGGAAGGCAGGGCATATTGACGTTGAAGTAGCAGCGGCGGAACGGTGAATTGTATGCTAGCTGAATGCACATTGAGCGCAAATCGTGTGGAAACAAACCGAATTTGTTGCCTGCATTTGCTTTTGTGTACAGCTTCGTCTAAGGCTCAGCCCGAGCCTAAGTTTGGCCGTGCTTCTAAGTTTGTTGGATCGTAGACAGCTCCGCGACAGAATCGCCAAAGGAATAAGCGCATCTAAAAGCTTTGCTTTGCTTTGCTTTGCCATGCTGCCTACCCGCTTCC